AGAGAGAGAGAGAGAGAGAGAGAGAGAGAGAGAGAGATTTTAGATGAGTTTATATATAGCAAGTGTATTTATTTATTTAATATTAAAAAGTTAGCAAGATAAAAAGGCGCACTTGTATGCCTTAAAGAAAATTTTTTCAATGAGTATTTTTCAAAAGTACATGCATTGAAAAATATTAACATATCTCTATGTTCACGACTTCATTAGTTTTAAGCTGTAACTTTAAGAAGCTTATTAAACAGAGTAGAATAAGCTGAATGAAAAGAATCTACCTGACAAATTGTTTTTTAGTTAACATTCTTCTCTATATGCGAGCTGACTTTATACCTTCTAAGATTTTCAAATTTAAAGCTTTCAACTTCTGAATTTTAATTAAATAAAATATAATTAATATTTCAGTTTTCACGCTCTTCCCTCCTCATCTTCTTTGATTATATTTGAGCGATCTGAGAAATACACCGAAAAATCACAGGTTTAGGTGTTCCTAATGTGAAAACTTCTTGTTGGATGTTCTCTCTTATATTCTGCTCGCTCTGTACGTTTAATTTTGAGCGCGTATCGTCGAGACACTCGAGACGAGAAGACGACCCTGATACATATAAAACAAATGGAAAGCTATTTTAGACAAAAACTGTATGGCCCTTGAGGCGAAAAGTTGAACCGAACAAAAGGGAGAGAGAGAGAAAGGACAATTCTTGTTATTTCTCTGTCGAATATAATCAGGCGGAGGAGGAATGTCATTTCGGCGTTTAAATCGCGATTTAAATTAATGACGATACCGCCGCCTGCGACAGGATGTCACGCGTGTATCAAGGACCACATATGCTGTCGTGTCGTGACTCGCTTAACATTCGTGAATCCTGCCGGAAGTTGCCTACACGAATGCACGGTCGCGCGTGCGACCGGCTGCTGAGGAATTGAAGTAATTGACCTCATGTATGAGCTAAATTCTCGCCCATGCGTCATGTAGACAATGATTATTTGCTATTTATGACTGTTTAATAACGAGTAAATAGCTGCGTTATTTCTCCGTGTTATTTCTCGACGAGATAGTCAAGTCGTAGTCAAGTGTCCATTTGTATCATTTAAATGAATAAAAAAAAACTTTTTAAAGAATGAAAAGAATTGAGAATTATATCTGTAAAGAATGTGGATACAGTTCTGCACGCAATTGTTAAAATGGCACAATTCCGATCATTAAATTATTTTATTATGATTTTCAATATTTCGTAATAACTCTACGTCACAATTTCTTTCCATACTTCCACTACAATTTTTCAATACTTTTCTATATTATGTATATAACTTAATTCGAGTTTTTACAGATACAAAAATGTTTCACAAAATAAAAATTATGCACGCGCGGCACACACACACACACACACACACACACACACACACACACACACACACACACACATACATACATACATACATACATACAAGGTAAAACTGGTCGACTGTGACATCATTAATTGCTATCATTTAGTACGTTTGTTTTTGTCGTTGAACGTCGCGCAGACGAGCGTGCCGAGCGATTTCTGAGAAAGGGCCACGGTGAATTCCTTCAATCCTTAATCGCATCCAGTGTATCAAAAGCACTATTATTACTACACATTACGCGTATTTACTTCCTTTATTGTTAATTGGATATTATATGGATGAAAATAATCATTTATTATCAACATTGAATAATAAGTAGTGACTTTTCTGAATGCTACGTAGCATTTAAATAAGTAAATTTTTACTTTTAGAAATTTAAAAAAGGGAGAGAGTAATTGAAGAAAAAAGAAAAAAAAGTAGGAGGAGAAAGTCAATTAACTTTCTCGTTTCATTAAATATGTAGAAAAAGTAAACTTGTAACAAATTTATGTGTTTTCTACAGTTTTGAAAGGTAGTCCAGCCATTGGTGGTTCCATTCAATCTCTACCGTTTAACGACGATCATCCGGACACTAAGGAGGAGAGTGATGGTAAGTCACAATTTGTCAATCATAAACACAGATGTATGTTTTAGTCTTGGAAAATGTACGGATACGATATATACATACATATATATATATATATACACACTTATACATCTCAGCGATAAATAGAGAAAAAATGATTTTGGTTGTTATAATAATAATTATAAAAGATGTTTTATGTTTGATTATAGACTGAGGCAATATTTTATCTATGAATCTCATTGAAGAATTTGAGATCCATTCTTCCTCAATTCGTAGCTTCCAATATCAAAAAATCTAATGTTTAAATACTATATCCATTTCGAGGCTGAGAAAAAAATATTTCTCTTACAGAGTCTGATGAAATAAAGTTCGCGTGAAATGTCGCGTAAACATAAATCGCCAATTACTGATTTTAATCTCTATATCCTACTGAATCGAGTTCGAGTATTGTTTCTTTAAAAAACTGTATACAAATTAAATTTCTTCCATTTTTCATATTTCTGCTTCCATCTTTCGCAACACTTTCCGATGTTTAGCTTTATAGCTTGAAAATGTTGTCGCATTACTCTAGACTCTACTCGCGCTACTCTGTCATCAATCTTCAAAATATATTCCTTTCAGATAGTTTAGCAAGGGGAAACTGAAAAACTCTGAAAAACTCACAAAGGTCTGGCGAATAAGAAAGCACATTCATTCAAGCACAGTGCAATTTGTTTGTTGGTCAAAAACTCTTCAACAAATAGTGCTATGTGCAAGATAATATAAAACACGATGACACTTTTAAGAGTTATAATACAAAGCGAATTTGGGAAATTAATTTAATCGAAATTGAAAGAAATACTTCAATTTGTATATAGCATCTCAAGGAAATTGCATCTCATTATTTTGAAGGAAACGACCTTGCTCCCTCCTTCATTCCTCAATTCGACAATGAGGTTCGTACTGGCATTTACATCGCGAGTTCGAACTTTACTGTTGGATCTCGTATTTTAGCCAAACATTTAAATAATTGTTACCTATTCTTTAGGAGTATAACTGATGTCTCTTAAAAAGAATTTTTTTAAATATTTTTCTCTTTAGATCATTTTTGCATAATGTAAGATTGGCTTTCTCATTATCATCAAATAAGTCGATCAGCATTTTTGCAAATTATTCTACATATGGAATTGTAATAATTTATTAATTTCTTTCTTTTGCAGCAAATGATTGCATATCGGATAGAAGGTCAGTATTGGAGGATCAGAAGCGAGAAGAGAAATTTTACGTTCCACAATGCATGTCTGATGGAAGATATCATCGAGTGCAATGTTATTCAGGATATTGTTGGTGTGTATATCAGGATACAGGTAAGCCAATACCAGGGACATCCTCGAAGGATCGCACACCGAATTGTAATCCAGTTCCGACTCCAAGTAGACCTATGAAAGGTAATTATAATAAAAGTTTGTTTTTTTGAAAATTACTTGTGTACAATTATCCACACCACACCACACCACGCCACACGACATCACACCACACCACACCACACCATACACCACACCACACCACGCACGCACACAGGTTTCCAAAATAATTGACATTTAATGTTCAAAAAATAGTTTTTTTGGCGATATTTTTTGTAAAGAATGTTAACGTGATATTTATAATTTTATATATATGTGTATATACATAAATTTTTTACCTAAATATTAATTCTCCAATGTTCATAGGATGTCCAGAGCTAAAAAAACAACTATTTCTTCGAGATTTGATGGATCTCATGCAAGAGAAAATGGAAGCCTCCAATATCGATTCCAATGAAACTACTGTTAAATGGCAGGCTTCCAAGGAAGAAAGAGTAGCCACGTGGCACTTTGTGATGCTTGATAAAAATAAAAACAAGGTATTTTACAATCGTGATTTTTTCTTTCTCTTATGAATATCTATTATTAATAGAGGTATGATAACACTCTAATAATAGTTTACATCAAAAAATTATTTTGAATTGGACTAGGTGTTTCTTATAGATTCTTGAATGAAAATGATACCGCAAGTAAAAAAATTTCAGCATATCAGGTTTCCAAGATAATTGAAATTGAATGCCCAAAGAATGGCTTTTTGGCGATATTTGATATTTTGTTTTGTAAAAAAGATTAACCTTATCTTGAAATTCCAATCAGAATTTAAGTCACGAATGTATTGTTCAAAAACAATGCTTCAGACAAAAGGTATATGGTCTAAAGAGAGACAAATAATGGTAAAATTGAATGCGCATGTGAGTGCGCTGCCTTAGAATCTCCATATTAACAATTAGCTCTTAACTTCATTCCTTCATAATATGGCTAAAAAGATATTGAAGTAAAAAAAAAGCATTTTATAGGGGATGAATACATTTATGACTTCCGATCGGAATTTCAAGATAACGTTTTTTTTTTACAAAGAAATTGTCAAATATCGCAAAAAACTATTTTTTAAATATTAAACCTCAATTATCTCGGAAACCTTACGTGCTGAAGAAATTTGGCTTGCGATATCGTTTTCAGCAGCCAAAATCTGTAAGAAATACCTAATCTGGTTCAAAGTAATTAAAAAACTTTGTTTTTTTGTAAACTAATATAAGCTAATGTTCCTAAATATGGTAGCTAAATTATTATATTCGGAGTTTAATATAAATACTAGAATAATTTTTCAACCAATTAATCACATTCTAATTCTTAAGGAAATGCGTAGAAAAGATAATACGCGATTTTTTTTCCTAGCCAACTCTGTTCATTGGCTTTTTTTAAATAAAATAAATGTTTCCTGATTACTTTCTCTCATAACTTTATTCTACCGTAATTCTTTGTTGATTCGAAAAATCACTTTTCATAGAAAAAGAATAGTAATTAATATGACATTAACACACATGCATATATACGCGCGCGAGTGCACGTGCGTGTGAGTATATGCAGTATATATACATTTGCAGGTTTTAGAAAAAAAAGAATGGAAAAGTTTCCGCACAATGGTAGCGAGTAGTAGACAACTCCGGAGATGTGGCAAAAAATTACCGAGATATTGTGACATCAATAATGATAGAAGGATCAGTATGACAGAATGGCTCAGTTGTCTCAATGCTCAGCGTCCAACAACAGGTGATACAATAATATGTATTTTCTTTGCTTTTCCTTTGTGTGTACGCGCGCGTACACATATACACACATACACAAAATAATTGTAAACTTTGAATGCACATTTCAGTTGACGATCCGGAGAAAACATTAACTACACCGAAAAGAATAGGTCCAAATCCACTAGATCAGTTTCTTAATGATGACGACTAATACATTATGTGATAATTTATGTTCGTAATCCCATAAAGAGAGACACCCATCTTTTTTTATATTAAGCCTCAAAACAGCTAATGGAATCCTTGGAATCACCGTAAGCCATCTTATCAACGTAATAATATTTTGATATTTTATTAACTTTTGAGAGTTTAAATTTGAGTGCGAATCGCATATTTTTATATTTAACTTATAAAACTCAGAATTTTTAGAATTTTCAAGAGTAAAACTTTTTAACTGAGTAATCATTTATACTTTGTCTATTTCTGAAAATTTAACACTGGCATTTCGCAAGATACGAGCAATTTTCTCATATTAGTAATTGTCAATATTATTGTATAATCATCAGTATGTGTGTCAACTACTCTTGTCACCTAGTCCATAAATCATTTTTTAAATAATTAAGCTATCTTATATTGGAAACAAATTCAGTTTAGAAAAAAATCCAATAAAATAATTTTATAGCATTTTTCTCAACCTTGAATTTTTGTTACATATCTTTTACCTATTTCTTCTTCAATTACGAAGAGTAGCATCTAATTAAGCATTTATACGCGTTTCTAGTTTACGAAACTGTAAATTTGTAAATCAGTAAGAAAATATCTAGTATATTTTATTTAGAGATATATATTCTTTTATGTACTCTACACAATCTCTCTTCTGGTGGTACAGAATTTTTTAAATGTGACAAGAGAGAATACTCTCTCTCTCTCTCTCTCTCTCTCTCGTTACATTTATTGCAGAGATAGTAAATAAGCATTTGTAAAAGTTCCATTCAGTCCATTGTATGAAAAAATATAAATCTAATTTGTGCGTCGGTATATTTTCATATATACATGTACATAATTCTTTTTCATCTATATGTTATATACATACATCTCTCGTATGGTTTTTACAGATCTTGGATGCGATTTCTCATGTGCAAGAATTCTGTATATCTTTTTGTATATCTTTTCCTTCTTATCGCAAACACACAATAAATATAAGGCCGTATTTCAAAAAACATTTCCATCCATAATTTGTGTGGATGATTACAGTTGCCTCTCGATTTTAATCCATTCTTTTGGGACCTCGTGTTCTCCATGCGACTAGCAAATTCCACGAAAAATACAAAGAGAAACAATGAACCTGTGAGGCTAAAAGAATAAAAGCGTACCAAAGTACGCCATATGGTAGACTCTGAAAAGTAAAATAATAATAATAAAGATATATGTGTAAACAAGTTTGTTTTGCATTTAAGAATAAATTGTGCAAGAAATATAGTAAAATTTGGATTGTTTTTTCAAAAAGATAATTAATACGCGGACGTCTTTACTTGTAAGAAACAGTTTAGTCAAGAAAATTTAATGACTTTGAAAAAAAATGTGATCATACCTGCCACAAATGAATGTCCTCAGATTTGCCTACAGTTAAATATATCCAGACATCTTTGAAGTAATACACTATGGCATAAACCAAAGGACCGTAACCTAACAAGATGATACCTATCATATAATTTTGCAGTGTTTTAATCCTATTTTTTTTAATCGCGGAGAGAGCGAAAAAGGATAATAACAAACTAATACACCATATGTATTCCCACCATAATGGCTGAAAAATAAATTTATTAAATGTGATTAAACTTAATATGTATCCAATGTCGCTAATCTATGTAACGTATATATATATATATATAAGTTTAAAGAAAAAACACACAAAGTACATGTTTTTATTTCTCTTTCTCACGTTAGATTTATATTATTTATAACGACATAAATTAATTCACAATCAAGGATGTTTGTTATTAAAGTTTTATACAATCGCTTAAAAAATATTTCGAACCACAATTAACATGCACACACACACACACATACATATCAACGATATTTTTCATTTTATTATACCTGTGGTATTTGTAACTCCTCGATTTCCAAAATAAATATATCCAGATGATCTAATATGTCTGCAGATAGTTTGGCGAGCATGACGAAAAATAATAGGTAATGAAAAAATATACAATATTTCAGTCTTGATTTGTTTGTCGCACTGAAAACAAGTGATTTTTATATATTTTAATGAATACTTGTCTTCTATATATCTTACATTTTGTACATAATTTATGCAGATTTAATTGATTATATCATATTAATATTATTCCCTCCTTTCCTATATATATCAAAATTTATCTTTAATCTAATGTTGTACAGTAAAATAAGTATAATTCGAATCTTTACTCGGTACTGAATATACATACTTTGATTCGATTGATACATAATAACATATGTGCAGTATTAATAATTTAGTGAGTTTGGCATAAACAATAGTTGTTGAAATTATTATACAGGAATAGTAGTTTTAGTCAAATGTAAATTGATATTATCAATGGTGCTTACCACTGGATGAATGAGAATCGTCGGAAAGTAATTCTGTATTTCTTTCAAGTTTTCTCACCTGACTTGGTAGTGTGTTGCGATTTTCTGTCGGTGACTGTAATCGCTCCCATCCGTTCCCAGAGCCTGAGAAAGTGTAACTTTCGAAGCCATAATCGGTAATGTTAGCGTATTAGTCTCTTTTCTTCAAACAAAGGAGGACACGAGATCCATTCGAACCGAGAAGTAAAACTCAAGGCGATTTATACAAGGCAGTGATCCATCGCAGCGCGAGTATCTAACTATTTTTAAACTTTGCGCAGCCAGATGGGAAACGTGTCGGCGGAGTGGGTTGTCAAGTAGCCTTGTCAGCCGTCAGGTCTCGTGAATCTCGTGATTCTGGAACAGTCCGAAGCCGAAGACTCGAGATTCTCCGAAGTATTCAGGGTGCCAGTCAATCCCTGAGCGCGCGTGACAGGCGAACCGAGCGAAAACGCGTCAATCTCGTTACTCGTAGCAGTTAATTGCAGGCAGTGGCAGCCGCAGTCAGAACATACTAAGGTGGCAGCCACGGGCTGAACGGGTTCGTATCGTATGTCGACCGTGCCGTGCAGCTTCGTTACCAAAAGAGCTAGTCATAAGGGTGCGCTGAATGCTCCTACCCTATCGACTATCGTAACTGTGCCGTAACAGTGCAGCTGCTGCCGAATCTATCGATGCTATCGATAGATAGCAGTTCGACAAGTGTGTAGTTACATACATGTCAGTATATGTATATAATCATTATAAGTGTAACCAGAAGCGTTAATCAATATGTTAATGTTGCTTGGAGCATTCATATGAGTTTATTACGGAGAGAGAAACTCAATCTCGGCGCAATTTCCCATTTGATTTTTCTCGCAAGACTATAGAGTAGCACGTACTGCACAGTGCAGTCTGCACTGCACGTATACTTGAGCGCGACATTTTTTGTTTACCGCAGAAAAATTTGATCAGCTAAGGTGCGCGTGTGTCAACGCTGTCAATGTGTTCCCGTATCGCGCCGACTTAAACTTGCGTTAGAATCTTTTCAAGTGTCGAATTATATTAATTTGGGGAAAAAATATATACATGTTCAATACATCGAAAATTAGCTTACGAGCGATATTGGTCGGAAACTTTTTCGTTCAATTACATACCTAAATTTTATTTATCGATTTGTAACAATGTAGATGTCTCCAAGATATCGGCGAGACACGTACCCGCGGCCACTTCTCGTCATTTTCATTCACATCGACATTTATGAGATATACATATATTTACAGATATACCTATCATGTTTTTAAAAATTCAATCTTAAAATTACACTTCACCTTCACTAACGTGTACGTACGTTCGCCATTACGAGCGTTAATTTATATACAACTAACGTCCATTGACGAGACATAAATATCTCTATAATTTTACACGGAAAAGAATTTTAAGTTCTAGCTGCTCTCAATAACGCGACGAACTTCTCTCGTGAGTATACATTTCGTAAAGCTCCTATTCCGAGCCGATTACAAACAAGCTTACATCACAACTGCAATTTACATGGCGAGTAGTGGCTGAAAAATACCATTGATAAGGATCGAATATCTGTAATGTTCCTGTGGAAAAACTGCCCTTTACAAACAAAACTTTCCTTTACAAACGCGTTTCGTGAAAATTCATTTGTTGAAACACACATTTTTTAAATTGTTTTACGCGCTAGAAAGAAAGAGAATGTAATCATCACATCAGGTACACATGTGCTTTGAATGCCGTAAAAACAGCGGGTTCCCAATAGCGCGATCTGTCAATCGGTCGCGGTTATCAATGATTGCGCGTCTAATAAACTCTCGCTTAGAAGGATCGAACTATTCATAATAGGCGCACTTACGGTATTGCCTGATCTATTGTTACTAAAGGGATAAAAGCTATCGATATTTGTATGAAGAGAGCAGCAGGTACCGACCTTATCTATTGGTGAGATATGGTGGCTTTCGTTTATTTCAAGGTGATTTACGTCGTTTTGAAGTAGCCTAATATAAAGTTCGATATGCCTTTGTCCACCGTTACGAATCTCAAGTGTCGGTATCCAACGAAAATAGCATTGAGTCCAAAGCTCGAGATTAGAAATTGTATATAAAGGTTTTATAATTGTTTCGTTTTCCGTTTTCATCTTCCCGGTGGAATTACGGGGAAAAAATAAAGGGTTGTAAAACAACAAGATATCCTGATCGTTGAATTGCTCTCGCCAATCCCAAACACTACGAAGTACGAGAGGCGTGTTGGGATCCTGAAAAATTCAAATTAAGCATTGTGTAAAACGCTCGTAAGCTTACTAGCTATGTACAATACTAGCTAATACTTTATTATTGATTCAACAGTAAAAGATTTATTACCATAGCTGCCACTGCCCGGTCTCTTTCGCAGTTGAAAATAAAGGTATCGAATATGGAAACGTGTGCTGCGTCCCATAGTGTGGTCAAATATGTTTCCGTAAATTCAAATTCCGTTGGATATTGGTGGCACAATTGCCATACACAATCGAGGTATAAGAGAAACAATGGAGACTGTGTAAATAAAATGAAAATAATTTGCCAGTACATACTATATACATACACATATATAGTCACCTCCTAGGTTCTTTTTAAGTTCGCTTACAAGTCAAGTCAGATGCCATGCGTACCTTTTCCGAATTTGCTTTCACAATGTGGCCCAATCTATCGCAAAACGGATGGCCACCAGCGACCCATTCTTTTTGTAATAACGATTGAAAACCAGCTATGGTACGAAAGTGATGATCCAGCAACAGTTGCGCTAAACTCGATATAACGCAGCACAAGTCTCTAGCGGCACCTTCTAAAAAAAAAAAACAACGATCTGATTTATAACAGAAGTCGACTTGGTTCGACAATAAGCTATATGTCAATTAAATTTTTCCATTTTCCTATTCGATGCGTTAATGTACGTTAATGTAATGTAAAGTCAACAATCATAAAGCTTCTCTTAAAACGATTCTCTTACGGTTCCGCCGCACTTGCCGCCTCGAACAAAATCAATTTACAATCTCAACAATTTTGTAAAATCTACCTTGTAAAATGACGGAAATCCCTAAATTAAGATGGTCGCAGACTTCAACTGTCTTTTGTAAGCAATACGATATATATTTAAGCCATTTTGTATTTTCTAACAATGAGTAAAAATTATTATCTTGAATCCAGAATTGCCTGATGTTTTCTGAAATCAATATATATTTTTAGACATCATTTCCTTTTTTCACAATCTACATGTTGTATTATGTATATGTATTAGATTGCCTACAAAGGCAAGTATAGCAGTCGGCAGGTATGAGGATAAAAATTTAAACATTTACCTGGTGTGCACAAGCTAATGAATTTAGTAAAACTTGCCGCTATTAGTTTTACATTAATTTCTTTATTTAATTCGATAACAACCGGCGGGATCTTTTGAGGATGGCTTTTACGAACATTTTCAAACATAATATTCTCCTGCATCCTCTCTGTAATCGTTGGTAACAATTCAGACATTTTTACTAATGCCGCACCGTGTGCATTTGTCCAGGACCATACCGGTGGTCTATTACCTTGAAAATGTCTAGCTGCATCTGTCAACTGACAGTCGGTCACAGACGCAGGTACCACTACATATTGCGATAAACTGCAAACACAAGGACAGATAGGCAATTAATGCAAAACCTCCTTTCCTCTTTCAAACGCCCAAATTTCATTACATAATTAATGTAAATTTCGTTCGATGACGAGAAGTCGTTACCTGGGGCAAAGCTGAAATTTGGCATTAACTAGGGATAATCTCCAACCTTTTCTCGTTTCATCGCTACACAATGTTCTTTTCAATTCGCTTTGCCAGTCTGAAATATCCCGAAATAGTTGTACATTTTTGTCAAGACTACTGTAATAAGTCTCTCTGTAAAGACACAGGCACACAAGGTTTTGTGATTAATTTTCAGCTTTTCTTTCTATCATACATTATATTATAATATGATACAATAAGGAGAAGGGATTTTATGACTGTAACTTTAACTTTATTATCTATGTATTTTTTGTAGACTTGAGGCATGATACTAACTTGTAATCGTAGGCAAACAACAGTTGGTGTCTGCTAGGAAAAGCGTGATGTAGCAGCGCAGTCAGAAGATTCTTACCGTGCCCGAGAGGTGAAAATTTGAAAGAAAACGACCAGGTTCTTAGATTCTGCAATTTATAATTAAAGAACGTAATATATATATATATATATATATATATATAATTTTTTCGTCGCTCGATTATTTATAGTGTTGTGTACAAGTCGTTTGTCGATTTTCAAATGATCATTAGCTAACATTTTGTGACATTTAAGCCAAGGAATCAGTTTTCGACACCCATCTTTATTCTTCTTAAAGAAAGAGAGACGAGGGAGAGAGAGAGAGAGAGAGACAGAGACTCACTTTGCAGATAATAAATATTCCTTTCACTTTCGATGGTACTGTATTGCCAGGAACTAACTTTCTTTTCTTATCTCCCACCATAACGTAAATTTCATCGATATTTGTCAAACATGTATCTGTATATCCATACAAGTGGTTTTGTTGGCGAGTAACATTCTGTAACAAATTCTTGGATATGTATTTAAATGGTTTAAATGTCTTAATAATTAAATAAAATTGATGATTGTAAAATTATAATGTTATACCTCTCCATTTGAATCACCACTGGTGACAAAGGTAAGTTTGAAATTGGTCACCGACAGAACACCAGATATGCCTTGTTTTAGATCACTAACAGGTGAGAACATAAGGACACTTTGTGCCTCAGCAATAAGAACTTCTCCTGGCAATAATTTTATACTATTTTCAATTAATGAATTGCGTCGACTAGAACTAAAGGTCTAGAAAAAAAAATTAGGTGGATTAGCGGATTATCTAAAAAATTCAGATAAATTTCTAGTTTTGAGAGACTCGAGCAAGAGCTTATAATTAAATCTCCACAATGTTGAGATTTAATTATAAGCGCCAAATGTTTACATAGCTTATGTAAATGACAAATACCTGTAGCTCGTGTTCTTCCAATCCCACGTAACTAATAAAATTGTTGCTACTTTTGCTTTCCATGACAAATATTCGATCTCGATAAAACTAAGGCAGTTTTATTTAACCAATAATAAATTGGTTTCTGCAAACAATAGCGACAAGCGCGCAAGTGATAAAACGCTTCATTTAATTTTCTTCCCACATAGTTGAATCAAGTTGAATCTTTCAAGCCACTTTTACAGGATACTCATGGCAATGTCATTCGTGATATCATTTGTGGGGAAGCTGTAGAAATTCAAACACTACTTTGATACTAGAGGAGGTTCATACAGGTTGAAGAGCTGTCTTTACACTCTTTACGAGTGGCGTACCGTGCGCGCGCGATCTCAATTGTCTCCTATCCTATTTTCTATCTCTAGCGAAGACTCCAATTATTAAGAGTATCCAACTTTACTATCGTTAAATACATAATCAGAGAGAAGCATGAATAGTGTGCGCGGCCTTTGCGTTGCGTCCATTCCGGCCTTTTACGTGTCGGGACGGGACACTGGCGATATTACATCCATTTTTGAAATGGGAACTATGTAGCTGCGTCCATTTTCTGACATTGTCGATATAATTATAACGTCAAAAATCAGGGGATATGGTTCGAGTCTGTGCTACATTCATAAATAAAATTGTGTATTTCGTGCTACCTTTTAATCACCGACGAGATATCATTAAAGACCGACACCCTTACGGGAGTAAGCGTTGCTGGTTTAGTAATTGCTAAAATTTAAGCAATTAGTCAATAATATAATATTAATTTAATGATTTATTGTTAGATTAATGTTTTTTTATACATGTACATTGTAATTCATCTGTATTATAACTTGCTAATAATTAATTTTATTTA